ATACCATAATTCAGAATATAGCAGATCTGAGGGAATTTGGAAAAAAGTCAAAAGTTCATTGGTGCCAATTGGCCCCTTAGCTGGTAACCAGCAAAGTTGTTGCAAACTATTTAACAATTACACCAGAGACATTCAGGAACAAGGTCCACACACTTGTGAAATAATAATTACAAATTGTTCAGCTGAAATTTTATGAGAATTCTGCAGAGATATATGACCAGCTGCAAATGATTTCTGAACTATTATTTTTTATTGGATATTTGAAAATTGAATAATGCTTCTGGTAATGTTCTTGGACGAGATGGCTAATTTTGTCAATCCATCACACCTTTTCTTTTCCATGACTGAATACCTTGGAATCTGTTGTTTGTGTGTGTTCTTCATCTTAGAAATCCCACCAATGAAATTTTCTACATCATTCACACGAGACAGAAAGACGGGATTTCTCAGTGAAATTGTCCTCCCTGTCTGAATATCAGTTTAAAGTATTTTAAAAGATTTCCACTGTCAGTCAGGTTTGAGCGTCCCAGCTCTGCTCCTTTCTCTCTCGCCATTCCCTCTTTGAACCCCTCCAATCCAGCTTCCGTGCTGCCCATAGTACGGAAACAGCCCTGGTCAAAGTCACTAATGACGTTCTGAACATCTGTGATCACGGCTCCCTCAGCCTCCTTGTCCTCCTTGACCTCTCTGCCGCCTTTGACTGTCGACCACTCTATCCTCATACACCGCCTCTCCTCTTTACTTAATCTTCACGGACCTGCTCTTGCCTGGTTCGATTCCTATCTCTCTCACTGTCTCCACTTTGTTGCCACTTCCAGTTTCTCCTCCAGCCCTCACACTGTCACTGGGCTCTGTCCTTGGCCCTCTCCTCTTTAATATCTACATGCTCCCCCTTGGTGACATCATCCGCAGACATGGGGTCAACTTCCATATGCAGGCAGATGACATCCAACTCTATCTTTCTGCCTCCATCCTCAACTCCAGGACCACTGCTGTCCTGACAGACTGCCTCTCGGACATCAAGATCTAGATGAGGGGAAATTTCCTACAGTTGAATGTGAACAAGAATGAGGTCCTCCTAATTGGCTCACGCCAGCGCCTCAGCACCTCAGGCTCTGGCAGCATCAATCTCCATGGTCGCACACTTCAACTCACCGCCAGTTAGGAACCAAGGTGTCTTGTTTGACCCTCAGCTGTCTTTTCTTCCCCACATCCAAGCCATGACCCCCTCTGCCTTTCCTCTGTAAGATCGCCCGACTCCGCCACTACGTCACCCCTCAGGTCGCTGAAACTCTTGTTCATGCCTTCATCACCTCCAGGCTCGACTATGCAGAGGATCCAGTTCAAGATCCTGGTCCTCACCTACAAAGCCCTCCATGGCCTCGCCCCACCCTACCTCTGCGACCTCCTAACCCCCTACCAACTCCGGCCTGCTCCACCCCGACCCACCCACCCCACCATTGGTGGGAGAGCCTTCAGCCACTCTGCCCCAAACCTCTGGAATTCCACCCCCCAATCACTCCGCCTCGCCCCCTCCTTAGCCTCCTTCGTGTCCCGCCTCAAGACCCTCCTCTTCGACCATGCCATCGGTCACCCCCTTTCCCTTCCCCTCTCTTCTCCCCCCCGACCCCAGCTCAGGTCTGAAATGCTGTATACTGTCCAGGGCCTTGGGACGTCCTCCCGACGTGAAAAGCGCTATACAAATGTAATCTTGTTGTTGTTGTTGTTGAATTCCCTTAAGCATGATGATGGGTTTCCACTTGTGACCGACACCCAGCCTGACTAAAAAAGAAACATCCGCCTTTGTTCCTTATCAACATAGATAAACTTGTGCACTCCTCATCAATTTTACTCACTCTTTTGTTGATGATTCTATTGTACAGACTTCCTCCGGGCTTCACAGCCTTTACTGCTCTCACAGTGGAATGTCTGGTGCACTAAACCTGGATTCCTTCCATGTTCTTCAAAGGGATAATAATAATCTTGTCTTTTCAATTCCTCAAAGACATTGGTTTCTTCATTTCTTTTGTAAGTCTAACAGTTGGCTTCAGTCTTAATCCTTCTTCATCTATCATCACGTTGGCCTTCACCATCTCCTCTGACCTCAATTAGAATTTCTACATTTTCCTCAATCTTTGCGTTTAATCCCAAGTCCCAGAGGTGAAATGGAGTTAACTCCAGGTCCCAGAGCTGAGGTGGATTTTCTGCTTTGGATACCCCTAAAGATATATTTGAAGACATTGTGGTTTTCATGTCGGGCTAGGCTATCCAGTGAAGGTTAACAATGCCTTGCTACTTAGATTGTCTGACTTTCTCTTGCCAAACCTTCAGTGGGACCACCAGGATTAATTCATCGGTACTCAGAAATCCAAAGTTACTACATATGAAATTCTGTGCTGGAAATCAATTCTTTCCTGATGTGCTGACAGTGTCCTTGAATTGTCAGTTCAGCTTTTGTTGAGTTTAGTTGAACGTCTTCCAGACAAGTGCTATGGCTGCAGCTGTAATGTAAATATCTGATACAAGATAGTACAACCAGCAATTCTTTTCTGTGAACATTCATACCTGTACTGATCGGTGACCAAACAGAGGACTTTGAGATCAATATCTATCACAAGGTACTGGAATGCAGCAGCAGTATGTCATCATAATCAATAAAATGTTGTTGGCTGTAGTTATGTTTTATGATTCCTAGTAGATAAATCATTTTCATGAGATTTTCAGATGGTAAAAGAAGCCCAGATGTTGCAGAATAATTTATATTAAATGGCTGCATACTTCAACTCAAGAGTATGAATCAGTCTGTAACACTGACATTGGCACGGCACATAGGCTACAAATAGACAGATTGTGTTTGATAATTAGTGACTGTCTGTTTCCTCTCCCCCTCTGAGCAGTGAGAGCACAACCTGCTGATTAATGTGGTTTCATGAGAGCAAAACAGTTGCTTAATAGTCTTGTCCTCAGTCCAAAGATCCCTCATGGGATAATATGAAGAATGCTGTATTCTTCCTCATTTGCTTGAATGCCATGTACAAGCAGAAATGTCATCCTATGGAGTCAAAACGTTTTGGAAAGCGTGTGTAAGAAAATCTCCACCAACCCCTGAAACGTAAGGCTTTTAAAACTCAAATTTAATTGCTGCTTCTTGATTTATTTTTCTCTCTTAACTTTTTCAATCTTGGTGACGTCCTCCATAATGGAGTGTTCTTGTACCTTTACTTGGGTTTCTGAGTTTTAAAAAGTACACATTTTGTTTTCAGTTTAGACCGGAAACAAGTTTGTGTGCCTTTGAACTAACACCATTTTGGCATGCAGCCTTCTTATCAATTTATGTTTGCCTCAATTTATGTGTCCTTTGCTCAATCCCAACCAACTGCTGGAGACATGGGATTAACTTCCACATGTATGCGGACAGCACCCAACTGTACCTCTCTGCCTCCACCCTTGACTCCAAGACAACTGCTGTCCTGACCGAATGTCTGTCAGACATCAGGTCCTGGATGAGATATAATTTTCTTCAGTTGAACATCAACAAGACCAAGGCTCTCCTGATTGGCTAATGTCAGCGCCTCCACAACTCAGGTGCTGACAGCATCACCATCCATGGATGCACACTCCACCTTACTAATCTAAGCCAGTCGGGAACTTTGGCATCTTGTTTGATCCTCAATTATCCTTTCTACCCCACATCTGTGCCATGACCCGCTCTGCCTTCCCCCACCTCCCCAACATCGCCCGGCTCCGCCACTGTCTCACACTGCAAGGCGCCGAAACCCTCATACACGCATTCATTACATCGAGACTTGATTACACAAACTCCCTGCTTGTCGGCCTCCCCAACTCCTCCCTCCATAGGCTGCAGATTATCAAGAAATCTGTAGCCCATGACCTCTCCTGCACTAGGCTCCATGACTCTATCACTCTCATCCTCGCCTGACTCCACCGGCTTCCCATCACACAGAGGAAACAGTTCAAGATCCTGGTCCTCACCTTCAAAGCCCGCCATGTTCTTGCTCCCCGCTATCTCTGCGACCTCCTAATCCCCTATCATCCTGCTCGCTCCCTCCGCTCAGTGGGCTCCAGCCTGCTTCACGTCCCCCAACTTGCTCACCCCACTATTGACGGGCGGACCTTTTGCACTCTGCCCTACCCTCTGGAACTCCATCCCACAGTCCCTCTGCCTCGCCCACTCCCTTGGCTCCTTCAAAACCCATCTCAAGAAACTTCTCTTTGACCGCACTTTCGATCACCCTGCTTCCCACCCTGCCTTCCACCCTTCCTGATCCCGACCCCCAGATTGGGTCTGAAACACTGACTGTTCAGCACCTTGGGATGTCCTCCCAATGTGAAAGGCGCTATACAAATGTAATTTTATTGTTGTTGCTCTAAAACTCATAAGTATTCTGCTCCATTATATTGAAGAAAGCAATATTTCCTCTCCTTATCCAGTTAAATTGGATGTAGTATTTGCTGTTGCATGCCTTCGTGATAGTGTATTGGAACACAAGTGTGACTCTGTGGTGCTCTGAGTTGAATATAAAAATCTAACCTCTTTTCAGTTGTATATCTTTAAAAAATCTTTGAAGCCAAAAATAGAATGGAAGATGAGTGAGAGCAGTGGAATGCTGCGTGCCATTCTTAATCAGATTCTCTGGTGAAAACACAGATTTCCATCTGTATGGAGCCTGGAAAAAAACAGCAGGAAAGTTACTTTGCTGTTTGCAAAGCTCTGAGGATGGGAAGCTCAGGATTCCCTATGCTTGCTTATTCCTTGAAATTGCAGCTGCTGTGAATTAATGTAAATCTTTCTATAGTACAACAAGTTTTGTTTCTTAAAGAGCCATATATTTTTCCATTTGGATAGCCCAGTAGCTTAGAGCTACAGCAAATTGGCTCCATCCACCGATATAGGATAAAAGTAACAGTTTCACATAGGATTACAGTGATGTATCTTACTGCACCTATACCTATTCTGCACAATATATTGCAGTGTTTACCTGGATTTGTGGAGCTGTGACTTCATTTTCCTATGTAATCTTCTGCATGGAGTGTTTGTGTCTTCGTCCTTATGGGCTGTGGCGTTGATGGGGGATTACAGGGGTTAAAGTGATGTGTCTCAATCTTCCTGCACAAAAGAGGCTAGTCTTGAGGCAGGCTTTACAAGTTTGGTGGGTGGGGGAGAGTGCGAGTCAGAGGGGTTGCAACATCTCTCAGACTCATCTCCTCTCTCCCACTTTTCATGTGGATATTAAAGATTCCATGTCATCTGAAAAGAGAAGATAGTTTCTCCCAGTGTCCTGGCCAACAATCCCCTACATAAAATTATCATTAATTTCATGCCTATTTGTGGGACATCATTGTGCACAAATTTGTTGCCATGTTCCCCTACAAATGCACATTTATAGTAATTCCTGTGTAATACTTTGAGATGTCCACAATGTGCTATATCAAATGCAAAGATTATTATTCACATAAATTAGGATGTGTATCATGAAACTTAGAACAAATATCTTCCTCACTTTCTGAGTAGTGAGCATTGCTCTTCCAGACTTTGAACTTCTGCTTGAAAATTCTATAGTTACCCTAATTCACAGCCTGGTTAAAAACACTCTGATATGTGGTAGATGGACAAGTGTTACGTGACATCGCAAGCTGCATATCCAAGATCTTCCAGCAATCAACCATCCTGTTTTTGTTTCCCTGGATTGAGAGTGATCTGTGTACAACAAATGGTGTGTTCTTCTTGGGTATTTGTATTTCTTCCTGTGTGATCACAGACCATTTGAAAATATGGAGAATGTAATCCCTTATGGTTTATATATGCCAACAAATTACTTGTGAATGCTCAGAATTTAATGAGTAGAGACAGTGTAGCTGAAATCTGATAGAAATACTAAATCTTTTGCTCATTCCATGTTTCTTCTGAGACTTCTTCTTTAATATTGGAAAATGCAATGTGATGCACTTTGTACACCAGAATCTCCAATTTGACTACCTTATGGGAGAAGTTCCTTTTAAGACAGTTGATCTGGTAAGGGTGTTAGGGGTGATCATTGATCACACTCTTTAACCTCAAAAACAACGTGAGCAGCCATTACCAAGGCCAAAAAGTGCTGTGATAAACTGGATAGCCAATGTTTCAGATATCCGGCTGACCAAAAATAAATAAATTAGTTAATAAACTCTAAAGAATTTGCTTGACAATGTACTATGCTCTGGTCTGACCTCATCTTGAGTACTGTTGTGACTTACCTCCCCAGACAATGACCCACTGCTTCTTCCCTTAAGCCAATTCTGAATCCATAACCATGTCTTACCTAGTGACCTCAGTTTCAATCTTTCATGTAGTACTTTATCAAAAAGCCTTTTGGAAGTCTTATACATTGTATCATATGATTTCCTACAGTCAATTTGGGCTGCCATCTTCCCAAAACAGTCTGTGAGATTGGTCAGCCAAACACCTCCTCAAACAACATCTGAGGTCGATCAGACAAGACCTAACTTTTCTGAACCCATGTCCTGAACCCATGTTGGCTGTCATTTATTAGATTAGTAATCTTCCATTTTCCTACTGATGATTGATTACTGTTTGTGCAAATAGCATCTCAAGAAAATTTAGACAGAGATTCCTTATTTCCTCATGAAGAGAGGATCGACAGTGTAAGGGAAATTAGATGGGACCTTGGTTTAATGTCTCATCTGTAGGATCCTTAGTAGTTTGGTTGATGTTCAAATATGATTGCAGTCTCTAATTAAACCTTTTTCATCTACGATAAGGAATTAAGTAAACTACCAATTATGAACCTTCCTTAATAAGCTTTTTTATAGATTACCTGTAGATTTTACAGTAAAACCTCAATATTTGTTGATTATTTTTTATCTTTATTCTCAGCCAAGCCAAAGTCAGTTTTATGCTAAAGCAAGCCTGTTTTGTTTTGGTCAGGTAGACATTTGTAACATACAGAAACCCATCACCATGCTTATGAGTATCAAAACCAAACTGAGAATTCCATGCATCCCACCTAGACATGGAAATTCCGCTGTATTGGAATGGAATGTGCACTCTTTCTGGAGGGACACATCCTAGTAACCTAACACCAGAGGATATTAGGCACAAGTTGGCAAGAACCAAATTATGGGGACCCCAGAATCTGTGTTGAGGGACGGCTGGAGTCTAACCAGCTTATACCAACCAAGCAAGCCTTATGATGTGTTGAGTGTAATTCTATCATGGCACATGGCATGTTACTGACAAGCAATCTGTTTCTTTATCTTAAGAATTTAGTCTTGTATTATTTTTTTCTTTCACTGATTTTTGTCTCTTAAATGTCTTGTGTCCTGAGGAGTTTGAATGATTTATCCTTGTCCTGTGATTATGATTCTGTGAGTATTGGGCAGTCTATGTCCACATGGCCATTATTCATTTTGTGATCCTTGATGATGAGCGTTGGCATACTGTTTGACTGTGGATGATACAGTGTTCACATAGGCACACCTTTGCCAGGGACATCAGAGGAGTGTCAACTGCTTTTGTTTTGCCCAGCTGTCTACAGCACTACATCCACATTTGGTCATGCAACGAGACCATCCTGTGCCATAGTGAGTTGGACTTGAAGCTTGTGATCTCAATGCAAACAATGTCAACTATAGAAATAGATATTAGAAACATAGAAATCTTACTTCTTCAGTACTTTCTTATCTATTATTTCTCTTGAAATATCCAACACCATTTGTAATCACCTGCACTGGAATCATTCCAAACTCCATAGCAGTAACACCAGCACAGCAATCAACAAAACCACTGCCATACTAACTGTGATAATAAAAGATACTGCAGCCACTAAAGTGATCAGCATGGAAATCATCACAGCAACTACTGCGTGAACCATTGCTCCAATTACTCCAGCAACTGCCAAAGCAGTCACCAAAGCATCTACCATAGAAACCTCACAGAACCCACCATAGCAACATCTACAACAGCTACCACAGTAACCACCACAAAACTTGCCATCACACTCACTCTTGTACCTGCTGCACCACTCACGAGCACTGCTACAGCACACGATAACGATCCCCTCTTCACCAGAACAAACACCATAAAAGCTTACACTGCAGCTGTAAAGTTGCCAGTACACCAGTAAACATGGAATGGAAAATTACTATATTTAGTGATCATGTAATGGATCAGGTGGTATATCCAAATCCCAACACATGCTTCTCTATCATTGAACTCTGCTCTATTCTGCAGCCACACTTCCAGTAACATTTTCCAGCAGCTGTAGTCCCAGGCTTCAGAGTTTCATTATTAGTCAATTGATGCACACCTGCCTTCAGCATGATAGAAAGACCGTTGCATCTTTGCTTTGGCCACCACTTAGACATTTAAGAGGCCCGAGTCTGAGGTCGAATACCAGGCATGTTGGATACCAACTGTCTTTATGTAAGGAACTTTGGCAAAGTAACAAGCCCGTTGACTCCAACCCCAGAGTGCAGTGACATGGGGATGCTCCCTCCCCAAAGTCGTTTCCCTCTTTTACCAGAGTTTCTCCTTAATTTGGACTTGTATCATGCACATGGGTCACAATAAACTTTCCACTGCATGTAGAGGAGTGCTGAACTATGAAGAATCTTTTAGATATTCGTTTTATACACCACAAACATAATTGAATTTTACTTTGCTTAAAACAACCAACCAAAGACTCCGCCTCTTCTCAAAGAACTGTTACTATATGGCTTAGCTACTCACTAGGTAAACTTTCTCAAATAGTGAAGGAACTCCTGATGCTTTGATTTGCTCAGCTGTGTCAAGCACTGTATTCAGCACAGGAAATTATGAGATTATGCTGGAAGAGTTGGCCTCAGAAGCCATGGACTCTGATTTTCAATGTACAAGGTAGATATATCAAGGTAAATATTGGAAACATAAAATACTAATTCTCAAAACACAAGCCTGAACCATTTGGGAACCCAAGTATGCACAAAAAACACCAATGCTCGAATCAGTCCTCAGGTCATGCCCAATGAATCATCGTCGCAGCGGTCATTAGAGCAACCGCCATACCACTCGCCACAGCAACTTCTATCGTATCCATCATAGCAACCATCACCACAACTGCCACAGCACCTGTACAGCAACTCCCATAGCAACCACCATAGCAACCATGACTACGGCAGTTACCAAAGTAGCCATCACAGTAGCCACATAGCAGCTACTCCAGCAAATCAATACAGTAACCCCACTCCCCACTTCGGTACCATAAATGGCCCAAAGATCGCAGAACTGCTAATGTGTCTGATTATGGAGCGTGGCTTCTCAATACCATTTAATAGAATATCTGGGTTATACAGGAATTTAGGGACTGGAGTAGTCCATATCTCACATAGAACTTGCAGCTAACTGACAGAAGACTTTGTACCATGTCTAGGGTACATTTGAACCGAAATCCAAAATGAAAAGCCAATGGGAAAATTGTCATTCAGCCGCCATAACTCTCTTATGTGATTTATGTCTGAAAAACTCTTACCTGTGTGTTTTTCGACTGAGTGAGCACAGTCAGTCTGGTAACAATTTCCTGGTATCCCTTCTTTTCAGTGAGTTTTCACAACAAATCATGGTGCAATGATGTATGTGAAGTCCTGTAGCTCAGTGGTTAGAGCACTTGCCTTGCAAGCAAGACACCTGGGTTCAATTCAAGGCAGGAAACCTTGGCCAAGTTTCCTTACTCCACATTCCTAATAATAATCAAACAAACAAAAAAAAAATTGGTCATTTTCAATCCACAACTGTTTGTGGGACACTGCTGTACGCAATTAGCTGCCGCGTTTCGCCCACAAATATACAGTCAATTCACTTTACAACGTATTCTGTGAAGTACTTTGTGACATCTAGAAGACGTGAAAAGCGCTATATCAAATGCAAGGATTACTATATTATTATTATTATTTCTATAAATATTGACAATCGTGAAGCGATAGCCTGGATTGCAGATATTTGCCACGAGACAAGGGCTATGTTTCTTAACACTGAACAATCTGGCCGGGCGGATGATGCTAATGGAAAAGTTTGGAAAGGAAGCCGGCAAGATTAAACATTTGTGATTCTCAGATAGATTTTAAAGGTATCTGCATAATAAGCAGTAACATATCAGTCAGAATGCCAAGCCGATGAGTTACCGTCATCACATGGGGCAATTGCTTTATTCTTGGAAACCAAACATTTTCCATAAATAGACAACTGGCTGGTTTAAGTCGTTGGCACATTAGTGTTACATTTGTGTTTGCAACAACATTCTTCAATATTCCAAAGGCCCCACTTGACTGCATTCCTGACCCCTCGTTCTCCTCTGTTGGCAGTATATACAGTACCGTGCAGTGATAGCTTGGAATCTCACATTTATTAATCTAATAATTATCTTCTGCTTGAGCTGTGATTAATACACTTAATTTTGAGCTATTGGACTAATGATTATTGATTATTAATAGTACTGTAAATGACCAGAAACAGTAAAAATAAGAGTAGACAGCCCCACCCAAATGTTCACTTGCAAATGTTCTGTACTCGAGACCCAGGAGACGTTCTGGAAAGCATCAAATAATCAATTACTCATATGTCAGTGTGGATTTTGGATTCCTTTACTCAAGCTTTTAATCATCCAAACCTCAGTTATTTATTCTTTTTCTGTTCGTGTTTTGACAAGCTCACTGCTCCTCTTGATCTATGATCATGAAGGGACAAGAAAAACTAATATCAGGACCAAAACGTTCTAGAGTATTTTGTGGCGAAATGTAGTGGTTATATTGGTTATTCTAAATCACTGAAAGGAGTGATTCTGATGAGGTGCATAATTCATTAAGAGTTGTGAGAATGAACTTCACAAACATATCTCATTTTTCATTAACTGAAGCCAAAGGCACATTCGTGTCAATATTGATTTGCAAGCGAGACACCTGCATTGATTTGTGTCACAGAGAAGACACTGGGATGGAACACTGTGGAACAACAACAACAAATGACACTTGTATTGAGGCCTTCACGTCGGAAAGACATCCGAGGGCGCTGAAAAATCAGTTTTTTTTTTGGGGGGGAGGGGCACACAGTGAATGGAAACACAAATGATTCAAGACCCAAGGAAACTTCACCTCTACTTTACAGATTAATCAATGTTTATCAACAAAGGAATGCTCATATTAAAGGCTGTGTATTATCCTTATTGACTTTCACCCCTTGAGTAACCAGAACAACTTCAATAATTAGAGCTATATTGATTACTCATGCTGTTTCCAACAAATGACCTTGAGTGCAAGTGAGTGCAAACACTCATAATTGTGGGAGTTATTGATATGGAAACGTTTGCAAATATTACAGCATTTGCAAATTACACAAAAATAGAAGAGAGTGATAACAATATACAAAAAGATTTTGACCAGTTACGTAGATAAGATGAATAATGACAGATGAATTTTAATGTATGTAAAGGTAATGCATTTGTGAAAAACATATGTATACCACAAAAGGGTATATGTTAACAGAGGTAATTATGAAAAAGGATTTGAGTCCAAACATTGATTGTTCTCTAAATGTGTCTGGCCAATATCAAGTAGTTGTCAACAAGGCAGTTCAAGTACCGAAAATATTTGGAAAGCATTGGAGTACAAGTCAGAACAAATCATACTAATATTGTGTATATCAGTGTAGATCAGTGTAGATTCTGAAACATGGAGCTGTGCTCACCACCATATTTCAGAAAGGATGTAGAGGTATTGGAAAGGGTTCAGAGAAGAGTAACAAGAATGCTTTAGACCTTAAAGGCCTAAATTATGAGGGAATACTCAAGTGTCTGGGCTTCTTTTTGCTGAAAACATATAATATTGAGGGGAGACATGAAGTTGCAGAATCATATTCAATCTTTGGATGAGACATTAAATGTTGATCCTGTGAATGCAATATACAGAAAGGCCTGTGAAGTGCTTTGAGATGTGATGAGGTGCTATATCGATTGCAACAATTATTATGAATAGATGTATTGAAGCAGGAAATTTAGCTGAGTCTGTGAGCATAGGATTACACCCATTTGAGAAATGCCTAGAAGTACACAGTCACTACACTCTACAGTAAATCATGTGAAATGTTTTGAGATATTTTGATGATTAGATGAGGTGCCAGATCAAATGCAAGGATTATTTTTATAAAACACCTAAAATGTTGAAGCATTTTAGAGGAATAACAGAGGTTTGGGGCATAGAATCTGATCTTAAGACTCAGCCATAATGGTGGTGCGGAGAGGGCAGGACACATGCAGCAATCAATGTTGATTGAATGGAGGGCATGAATAGAGTCAAGTAAGAAAAGGTCAGAGAAATAGGGAGATATTAGGATATGAAGGGATTTGTAGGTGAGGAAGAAATACTTGAAATTGATCCGCTTGGAGACAGAGATTGAGTGGAGTCTGGCGAGGACTGGGGTAATGGGTGTGCCGAGTTTGGTGCAGGTGAGATTTGGCTAACTTGGAGCTTATGGATGGTGGACCTTGGAAGACCAGCAAGGAGTGTATTTGAAAAGATCAGGCGAGGTGACAAAGTTATGGATAAGAGTTTCAGCAGCATTTGGTGTGAGAATAGGGGTAGGGTGGGCATATATTGGCCAAAGTCAAGAAAAGCAGCCTTGGTCAGAGACTAGTTGTGAAGGAGAAAGAAGAGCCGAAGATCAAAATGGTGGGACTTAAAAAGAAGTTTAACCAAAATTGCTCACTGGTTCAATGAGTTTGAGAGAGGCTGGGGAAGTTGACAAGGTCAGAATCGTAAGTGAGGAAACATTGGCAGGATCCAAGGAGAATATAGAGAATATAGAATATATAATATCTATCTTTTCTATAATGAGTTGCAAAAAACTAGGCTTACCCAGCCTTGATATCTGTTAGGCAAGTGAACAGAACCTAGAATCAAGAGTGGAAGTAGAAAACTAGATTTGGGTATCATCCACACCCAACCACTTAACATCTGTTGAAACAATATTTTCAGGTAGTACTGTAACCAATTTGTATTTTGACTCATATTTAGTGTAATAGGCAGCTTCCATTCAAACTTTATGCACAATCTGCTTT